AGCCACAACATACAGGGAAGGAGGCCTCTGAGACAGGCGTGGGAGATGTGGCTGCTGTGTCCCCTACTTTTCAGAAGGAAGAACTGCTGGTGGATGTCAAGACCGAGACGGCGATGATGGACAAGTCTAAACTCATATTAGCATCTCAGGTAACGGAGCTGACGCTGAGGCTTCAGTTGGCTGAGGACCGACTGAGGAAGGAGGAGGAGAGGGAGGCCGAGGTCAGGACCGCCAACGCCCTGCTGAGAAGAAGGGCGGCCAAGCTGCTGGAGCAGATGACGGAGCTGACTCTCAAATATGTTAGTGGGATGACGGAGTTGATCGAGACGGAACTGCATCCCAGTGAGGAGAGCATAGGCGGCCGTGTGCGCCAAGCCTCTGAGCTCAGGGAGAAGTTGAGGGAGGCCCAGCTCCGAGCCAAATCGCTCCTGACCGAGCAAGACAGTGGGGTGTTCAGTGACGGGTTTCAGGCGGAACAACCGCACATCATGGAGCTGATGGTCCAGAAGCCTCTAGAGGAGTTGGACAACAAGTCAAAAGTTAACCCGGACCGTGCTTGCGCTGAGCTGGAATGGAGGAGTGCGGAGTTGAGGGCGGGAGTCGGGGCAGCCCAGCGCTCTTTGTGCTACGTCCTCAACCCCTCAGAGGTGACCTTTGACCTAGACACAGCCCACCCCAGCCTGGTCCTGTCAGAGGACCTGAAGACGGTGACCTTCAGCGCCAAAAAGCAGCCCTACCCAGCCCTGCCCACGAGGTTCAGTAGCTTCCTCCAGGTTCTGAGCACTCAGAGCTTCTGGGGAGGCGAGCATCGCTGGGAGGTAGAGCTGGATGGATCTTCTCCATGGATAATTGGATTGTGCTACAGCGAGGCAGTAGCACGCAGCGGGCTAACAAGCGCCCTGGAGAGCAGCCAGGGCTCCTGGTGCCTGATGTGGTTTGACAACCTGCTGAGAGCCTTCGAGCAGAGCCATGACGTCCCCCTGAAGAGAACCCTGTCAGTATGCAGACTGGAGATCACGTTAAGCTTTAAGACTCAGAGGCTGAGCTTCTATAACATCAGCCAATGCAGTGGGAAGACTCACGTGTACACCTTTAAGGCGAACCTCACGGAGCCGGTGCATCTGGCCTATAGGATGATGTCAGGCCAACCGAAGGCACGCATAACAGTATGCTCTTGAACTGTCATTGGAACAAAAGAGAACCACATACAAGATTACATTGACTCTTGTTTTTATTTATCCTGTATTCATACCAAACTTTTGTGTTATTTACATGTAATTGTGTTTCAAGTGTTTGTGGATACAGAGGTGTTTTGGTCTGTGAATGACAGTAAAGAGAAAGAGTTCTGATTTACATTGAATGACACATGAACCCATTGTTCTTCAATGAATGTCTGTTTTTGTCATTAAAGAAACGGTTTGGGACAATAAATTGATGATACATCAAACCAATGACTGTATACAGTCGCTAGTGAAAGTCTACACAGCCCTTGCACAGTCTTCACATTTTGCTGCCTTCAATTGAAATCTCCAAAGAGAAGACATTCCCACCGATCTACACAACCCAACTCCACATTTCCATAGTTAAAGACAAATTATAGAACATTTTACAAATTAATAAAAATGTATTGATTGTGTATGTCTTCACACCCCAGAGTTAATACTTGGTGGAAGGACCTTTGGCAGCCATTACAGCTTTGAATAAGATTCTACTAACTTTGTGTAACCTTCTGGTTCTTACTCCTAACCAAGGCAACCAATCAGCAGGCACAGACATGATGGTACTGGAGCTCATAGAATTATTTTATTCTGGGATGACAGACAATAACACACACAGTAGTGTTAGATGACTTCTCTCGCACTCCATTCAGTCCATCAGCATGAAATAGTCTTATAGAATGAGCATATAATGTTCTGTTATAATATTCTTGTTTTAATCGTATAGTATTTTTCTCTTTTAGAATGCATCAAACACAAGCTCCATATACAATTATCAATTACAAATAGACAATAACAATTATAGAGAACGACAAATTATCTATTGACAATACATTCATTCACATACCTGGTCCATGAACGGTCCAGTCTCAGTCCTGATTTAAATCTGCTTGAAAATCAGAGACAAGGTTTGAATATTGCTGTCCATCAATGACTCCCAACCAAATGTACAGAGTTTGAGCAATTGACAAAAACAATAGGTATAAATTGCCCTAAGAGTTGCGCAAAGTTGGTTGAATCTTATTCAAAATGTTTTACACGGTTCTTCTACCAAGTTTTAACTCTGGCGTGTGAAGACATAGGCAATCAAGACATCTTCGTAAAAAAAAAGTGTTCTATAATTTTTCTTTGACTTTGGAAATGTGGAGTAGGTTGTTTATGTTGGTAGGAAAGACATTAATTTAATCAATTTTGTTATTACATTTTAAGGCAGCAAAATGTGAAGACTGTGCAAGGGGTGTGTAGACTTTCACAGTATATTGTTGGGTTCTATTTTTCTCATAATTGGATCTGTATGTGATGAATAACTTAGAAGGAATGCATTAATGATAAGCATAGGTTTTGTACTATACTGATATAAATTGTTTCACATAACAGGCTGTGATTCATGTAAGGAACGTTAGGGGGTAGGTCATATAAGACTTGTATTTCTTACAGATACGAACACTCTCTCTTTGTTGTCTGTGAAACTGTCCTTGAACGTAGGTACATAGAGTACAGATTGGAAGGGTGTCTTTTGGGTGCTGACTCTACAGGTTATTATGATAGCAACTTATGCCTGGGAACGGTGGAGCGCCAAGGGGTGGAGCGCCGAGGGTTTGGGACCAACCCGTGCGCCAACGGATTGGCTGATAAGTCTAAACCACACTCAGTCCTTTACTTGATTGGCCAACAGAAGAGGTGGGAACTCTTGTCAAGTATTTGAAAAGAACCTGTAAACCAAGTTTTAGTTCTTGAGTGCCAAGCGAGGTATTTCAGTGGACCCGTATATCGAACCTTCAATACTTATATACATACATTTGCCCATAAAATTAAGCTTGGATTGAAGATCTCTTGATTCTTATTCCAATACCAGATTTGAATTACGCAATTTCTAACAATATGCTTGTTTAACATTGCAGGAGACTGCCGACTGACTGATCTACAAAGAATCTTGCATCATAAATAACTACTCATTATTATTTGTAGATCAGTCAGTCAGTCACAATTTATCCATGATACATTACGGTTTTGATCCTCTCGAACACAGTTTAGGAATGGACAAAGCCATCGATCACGTGACACCATTCATTCCTATATAATGACGAGATGCTTTTGTCTCTGCCCTAACAATGGGATTGGTTGTCCACAGAGTAGAACAGCGTGCTGTCAAGCTCCAGCCTAGTCCTCTCTTTGGATTGGTGGATACATTTCATTATTTGAATACTTTTTTTGAATATTCGATGAGGGGTGTTGACGTCAATCGCCTGTATTCAATGGAGAGTGAGATGCTGCTCTAGCCTCATGAATATGCACAGACGTCTCTAATTTCAACAGGGACAACTCTGATATAAAGTGTTTTTTATTATTTATTATTATTATTTTCAAACAATACAAAACATACATATAAAAAAGACAACATACAGACATCAATAACACATGCATCACACTTATATAAGTACACTCGTAACAACCTAAGCATTACAAAACGTCTATTAGATCAAATAAGCCTCAGGTATGAAAATAGCAATTCATTTTTATCTTGACATATGCCACGTTCATGTGATAGTCTGAACTAGGAAACTCTGAAATGTCCAACTTGCTAACTGGTTGAAAATGGCTCTTGTATAACTACAACCAGTTAGCAAGTTGAACATTTCGCCATTTCCTAGTTCCGAATAGCACATGGGCGCGGCCTAAATTCTACACTTATTGACTGCAGACTGCAATTAGCAACTAAAGCATCCTTATAACTTCTTCTGTGTGCGATTTTAAAATAATCGGTTCAAGGACACACATCTGGTGTATTAGAAGCAATTATTGGTACCATGATTGTCTTTAAAAAAATATATATATATATTACACGAAGATTGCCATTTTTCCGTTCACTATAATGGGGAATCCTGTTCTCAGCAAACGCCGGTCACGTTCCCCTGCTCAGACGTTGCATGCATCAACCAATGGTTGCGTGATACATCATCGACTCGGACTGATAGATTGCTATAACATATGATGTGGTTAGCTGATACTTCAAATTACTGTCATTAAATACCTATTCAGGCGTTGTACAATCTGGCATGCGGCAGCAACGCCTGGGCAGAGGAAAGCGCCCAATGCCTGCTGTATGTGTCGGCCGTGAACAGTCATGGGGCAGTCATTCTCCCCTGTGTCAAACAGATACCAACCCAACCGATACCGCTGGGGCCCCTGGCATGGACTACAAGTGCTACAATGCAATACAGCAATAGTTAGGGATCGTCTTCAAAGATACATTACTGCCAACCTAAATTGTTTATCTGCATATAGCTGTAATAAGAATTGTAAAGTATCACATTTGACTGGTTACTGAGCATTAGTGATAGCTACTATTAATTGCTATATTTATTTGCAGAAGTATTTTTTCTAATACCAAATCCATTTAATTTTCACGTTTGTATATGACCATCCCTAACAGGACACTTCGATACAAAGTATTTTTCGTAGCAGGTTAGGATCATTTTGGCTAATCCGAACCCTTTTCCTAACCTTAACCTCAGTCTCCTAACCTGCTAGGAAAAACTCACTTCAGTATCTAAGTGCAGTGAAAAGAGTGGCCGTGTTCGAGAGCATCAAAACCGTGATGTATCATGAGTAAATTTTGACTGACTGATCTACAAGTAATTTATGTCGTTATTTATGATGCAAGGTGATTTGTAGATCAGTCATTCGGCAGTCGCCTGCAATGTCGTATTAGCCGAGTGTTTCCCATCCCTAAACTGAAGCAGACGGATGTCATCATACCACCTCCTGCTGCGCCTGCGCAAAGGTCGATGTCGAAATAAAAAAATCCGGTTTGTCAGGTGACTAGCTAGCTCAGATAAATGTTTAATTAAACAGTAGACAACAGTATGATAGTTTAGCTAGTTATGTTGCTTGCACCAAAATTATTGTCCGTGAAAAGTGCTGCAGAATATACACCTTGCCCTTGAATTCGAGACTACTGAAACGGTAACGTTAAGATCATTGTTAGCTAGCTAGAGAGCTAGCTAGCTAACTGTTAGCGATCTAGTTATGTTTGTTGTCAAGCTGGCGAATCGTTGCAATGCTGGCTTATTAACTACATCTCCCTGCCCTGACACGGCGATGTTTGTTTTGATATTCATCATGTGAGCCATCCAGCCATGTCACTTGCATACTATCGACTATCTATAACGTTATTACAGTTTGTTATTGCAGGTAGCTGTTAGCTAGCTGGCCTGATTTTGTTGTACACAAGCTGCGTGACACTGTCACCGTTACGTAACGTTAAATTTACCTGACGTGGACATTTTTTGAACAGACAGATGCCGCGTTCAAAACAACTCGGGAAAAAAAAGAACCTCACCACAAAAAAAATCTATTTGAACGGTCATTCCGAGCTGAAGATCACCGACGTCATGGGTTGATCTCTTTTCTTTTTTTTCCCCGAGTTCCCATTTGTATTGAAGGTACCAAGTGCACAGACTAGAGCTGACATGGCAAGCATGATGTCGAATAATCCCCTGTATTTTCTCATATCTAGCTAACGTTGGCTCATAGTTACCAATGTTAGGGAATAAGCAAACAGCTTATTGAGCTGCAATAACAATTATGTATTGTTTACTTGGTATCACTTGTAACACCACATTACTGAAGTTATAACATTTGCTCCTAGGCCTCGAATGCATTATGCTTGACACCGTGACTGCAGTGGTGAGGTTTGCGCAATACAATAGCACCGTATTGCCAACCTATGTGGAGAACACATCAGTAATCCCAACCTGGCAACCAGAGTTTGAGGCCAACATCACCAAGCCTCACAGATGTCTGCAGGTCCTATATGAGGACATTGGCGAGTCAAGGTAAGTCAGATAGGACTGTGTTTGCTGTGCTTCCTTTGAACTTATTGCATTATCTCAATTCTACATTTTGAAACATTATGTCATTTGCATTGATGGAACTATTCAGTTCTGTGTTTAGTGTGGTTATGAAGACTGGTGTAGCGTAGGAAGAATAACACTTCCTCTTTTGAAATAATGGCCATATAGACTATACAGCAGGTGATGGGGGTTTGGATTGATCTAAAACAAGGTTTGAGTTTCATGTGTCTTCATAATCATTTGTCAATGTCTCTGGCATACCACCCTGCAGGCAAGCAGCATACCACTGCTAGCTTACCTCTGAAGCTAAGCAGGGTTGGTCCTGGTCAGTCCCTGGATGGGAGACCAGATGCTGCTGGAAGTGGTGTTGGAGGGCCAGTAGGAGGCACTCTTTCCTCTGTTCTAAAAATATATCTGAATGCCCCAGGGCAGTGATTGGGGACATTGCCCATTGCCCTGTGTCACTAAAGATCCCATGGCACTTATCGTAAGAGTAGGGGTGTTAACCCTGGTGTCCTGGCTAAATTCCCAGTATGTGCTTCATACCATCATCCCCAGTTTTCAATTGGCTCTTTCCTTTCCCCTGTAACTATTCCCCAGGTTGTTGCTGTAAATGAGTATGTGTTCTCAGTCAACTTACCTGGTAAAATAAGGAAAAATAACATTTAAAAAAAAACTCTCCCCCTCCTTAGAGTTCGGTTTTGGGACCTCATGCTCCTCATTCCCAATGTGACTTTCTTCATGTTCCTGATGTGGAAGCTGCCCTCAGCCAGGGCCAAGATCCGGCTCACCTCCAGCCCCATCTTCATCACCTTCTACATACTTGTAGGCAACCTCTTATATACAAGCTCTGGAAATAGGACCGCATAATAACAAAACCAGTGAGATCCTGCTTGCAACCTCTTTTAATGGATGTCTGACCTATGTCCTTCCAGGTGTTTGTGGTGGCAGCGGTGGGAATCACCCGTGCCATAGTGTCCATGACCGTCAGTGCTTCCAGTGCTGCCACCATCATTGACAAGGTAAGGCTACAATGGCAGTGCACAATTGGTGACACTCTGAACCACCTGTACTCAAGGCATTTACAGTGGCTTCTATCCCACTCTGTAGTGTGTTTATAGACTTGCTGTAATAATTCATAACAGCTCAAGGCTTCTTGCAACAGCCCTTGTAGATGCATAAAAGCTTTGGATTTGTAATGCACTACACAGATGGAAGTTAGCTTCCGTAAAAAGGGAAAATGTGTGCTCTGAGCGACTTGGGAATCTAGAAAAAGACATGAACCTAGGAAACTTCACAAGATTATTATCTCAAAAAAGAAAGAGGACCTGTCCGATTTATTCAACTATCAGGACAAACATCTGAGTGCTTCTCTTTCTTTTCGGAGATGGTCATCTTGTAAAGTGTCCTGGGGTTCTTCCCCCTGGTAGAGCATAAGACTCGTTTTCAGCATTCGTAAGAGCTCAAGACTCCTTATAACAGTATAAGCATGGAAGCATGTAAATAAAGGAATTCATTTACATACAGGTGGTTCTCAGAAAGTGTTTCCCTCAAAATGGCTGTAGTATAATAATAATAATATGCCATTTAGCAGACGCTTTTATCCAAAGCGACTTACAGTCATGCGTGCATACATTTTTTGTGTATGGGTGGTCCCGGGGATCGAACCCACTATCTTGGCGTTACAAGCGCCGTGCTCTACCAGCTGAGCTACAGAGGACCACAGTAGTAGTGGTGAGATAGTGTCAGTCATTGAGCTGTGCTGTATCAATTGAATTTGGAGCCATACACTGCTATAAATGGCTTCTTAGTTCACCCGGGAAACGATTGAGATTCACTCTGTCTGCGTCCTAAACGGCATCCTATTCTATATATAGTGTACTACTTTTGGTCAGGGTCCATATGGCTCTGGTAAAAAGTACAAAACATTAACAACCCCTGCTCTTTCCATGACATAGCAAGGTGAAAGCTACAATCCCTTATTGATGTCACTTGTTAAATCCACTTCAATCAGTGTAGATGAAGGGGAGGAGATAGGTTAAAGAAGGATTTTTAAGCCTTGAGACAATTGAGACATGGATTGTGTATGTGTGCCATTCAGAGGGTGAATGGACAAGACAATTTTTTTTAAATACATTTGAATGGGGTATGGTAGTAGGTGCCAGGCGCACCGGTTTGTGTCAAGAACTGCAACGCTGCTGGATTTTTCACGCTCAGCATTCTCAATGTGTGGATCAAGAATGGTCCACCACCCAAAGGACATCCAGCCAACTTGACACAACTGTGGGAAGCATTGGAGTCAACATGAGCCAGCATCCCTGTGGAACGCATTCGACACCTTGTAGAGTCCATGCCCCAATGAATTGAGGCTGTTCTGAAGGCAAAAGGCGGGGGGGGTGCAACTTAATATTATGAAGGTGTTCTTAATGTTTTGTCCACTGTGTATAGGGCAATGGTATTCAAACCTTTTCAGCGGGGACCCCATTTTTTCCACCAGAATTTATGGGAACTCCATTGACCCCACCCCATATCTAATGACACAACCTTAAAATCGTTACATTTTAGATTTTTACATCAGCAAATAACCTTCAATTTATTGCATTTTCATATCTTATCAAAATGAAAAGAAACCAATGAATTCATTTTACATGTATATATTTTTTTACATATTTGGCCACCCCACTGCAGTTCCCGTCGCGACCTCAACTTTGAATACCGCTGATATAGGTAATAGGGTGATGTTTGCGACGAATCCAATGACTTTCCATAGGGTGATGAAATTTCACTTCTGTTATAAAATACATTTTACCAAGACAGGCGGCAGGTAGCTTAGTGTTTAAGAGCGTTGTGCCAGTAACCGAAGGGTCGCTGGTTCTAATCCGAACCGACTAGGTGAAAAATCTGTCGATGTGCCCTTAAGCAAGGCACTTAATCCTAATTGCTCCTGTAAGTCGCTCTGCATAAGAGTGTCTGCTAAATGACTAAAATCTAAATGTAAATATGCGTTTTTGATTGGACACCCTATTTCCAAGGCTCTCCTTGTGTATGCCTTCAGGCATTCCTTAAATTCCAGACAGATGGACAAATCCCCCATGGTGTACATAGAGATCATGTTTGTGTATATTGCAGTTAAACATATCTAGGCGTACATAGAGTGTATATATAATATACTATAATAGTCATTAGCAATAGGGAGCATGAAGGACGAAGAAGTGCTGTGACTTGATTAGTGATAACATGAAGATATTTCAAGAGTGTCTCAACCCTCTAAAATGGCCTAGTCTCTGTCTCTTTTCCCTTCGTGTGCACAGATTTCAACAGACAGGATGGGATCCTCAGAAGGTCTGAATTTGGGTAGAGAAAGCTGATCTGAAAGCAGTGCTTCCAGCCTATTAATTAGTAAATGTTTGTGTTAGTTCTTTCATGTAAATTGGTTGTTAATTGTGTAGCAGATTGTATCTGATTCTTCTACAACAGACCCCAGATAAATGCAGATGAAGGAAAGGTGATTAGGAGAGGAGGCTTCTTGAGACTATTGAGGTTGACTCATTTTTTTATGTCTCTCCTTTAGGTGTTGTGGGAGATCACCCGCTTCTTTCTGCTGGCCATTGAGCTCAGTGTGATTATCCTGGGACTGGCTTTTGGTACGCCTTCTAATAACCACCGCAATACATTTAATTCATAAAACTATCTTTTTCAACGTTTAATTTTTCTGTATTTATTTATCTGTATTATTATTATTATTATTATTATTATTATAAAATGTTTTTACTGCTCTAGGTTTATTATTATTATTATAAAATGTTTTTACTGCTCTAGGTTTATTATTATTATTATTATTATTATTGCTTGGATAATCTTATCTACTATTGTGTATTGATTTAGTTGAATTCTTTATGCGGTGCACTGAACACCGGAATAATTATTACTGTGAATTATCACTGTGAATTGTCACTGTGAATCATTGTAATGTTTGTTTGTGTCAATTAAACCAGTAAGGGATGTGTTGCCAACTGGTGATTTGACACGAAAATAAAATGTCATTCATTCCAACTCAAAGTTCTATACAGTAGCCTGGTTCCAGATCTGTTTGTGCTTTCATTGTCAACTCCTTATTTGGCGTGACAATGAATGACAAGGAATTGACATGATAGCAGAAACAGACTGGCATCCAGGCTAACTATACACATGAAATGAAAACAAAAGCTACAAAGTACATGCTGAATACAAAGTACAGTATGTTTATTAGGACAATATGGAGAAGTACATGACTAGTGTGTGTGTGTCAGGACAAGATAATAAAAACAGCACATTAGCAAAACAAATGTGCAGCGCAGTGAAAATGTAAATGATGTGCAAACTGCAAAACTAAAACTAGACATCTGCCTCTGGGCTAGTCTCACTTCTGTTTGTAAGACTGACACTTGTAATGACTTAGTCACCACTGATATGACTACAGTTGCGCACAGTCATATATAGTCATGCACTGTCTGTATACGCAGTAGTGAATATACAAGTTGTTTATAGTTATGGTATTCTTAGAGGGGGAGGAATTAGGCTAAGCTTGCTGTAGACTCAAACAGTATGAAGCTGACAGAGTGGCATTATTACTGCACTGCATATTCAAATGTTTTTTTTCTTCAGTTTATGGTAGTATCATAGTCAACATAACCTCTTGTTTACATTTTAGAAGTTTGGCCCACTTTTGCCCAAGGAAATGGAAGAATGCCCACTGACATGTTTCTTCTGTTGACAGGCCACCTGGAGAGCAAGTCCAGTATAAAGCGTGTGCTGGCGATCACTGCTGTACTGGCTCTGGGTTACTCCATCACACAGGTAAGACTGGAGACCACTCACAGGGCAGCCCCACACACTCACACGTACAACATCATAACAACTCAAACCTCCATAATAAGAGGCTGATAAAGATCAGTAAATTACGAGAAAAAAGATAGCTGGTTAATGGAACCCCTGTGTTGACCATTTGATGGTTCTTCCTCATCACACCTCAGGGCACCCTGGAGATCCTGTACCCTGACAAGCACCTTTCCGCCGAGGACTTCAACATCTATGGCCACGGGGGACGCCACTTCTGGTTGGCCAGCTCCTGTTTCTTCTTCCTGGTGAGCGGCCAATGGTTACAGAGCAAATGCAGCGCTGTCAAAGTTAATTTTAGAATAATGTAATTGTATTAAATATGTAGTTATGCTGTCTGGACTTGTGCATATAACATGAATAAAGAGGTGTTTTCAATCACTTATGTTTTGAGAATTGTTAGAATTGGATATCTTTGTGCCATCCATTTGATCCTCTAATTTTGCCGTCTTGTTGTTTGTAATGCAAGAAAGCACCAATTTCACCAATGGGTTTCTGCATGCTAGCACATACCCATAGACTTCCAGTCATTGTGCTAATGCTAGTTAGCATTGGCTCGCGACCCTACCTGTAAATTCCTTCATACTGGACACAGAGACATCAAAATGGGGTCCACCAGTTTATCTGACACTGGGGAAGTAGATGAAGGACCTCCCGAAGTACCCCTTTTAACACTGGTCCTTGTGCTTTCAGGTGTACTCTCTGATCGTCATCCTTCCCAAAACCCCGGTTAGGGAGAGGATATCCTTGCCATGTGAGTTATTGGGACATTTGTTCACCCAGAAAACTATCAACAGATGGCAGAGGGCTTTTTTCAGGGTCATTTTTCCTAATATACCAGCCCTAGAGTTCCACAGTGCTGTTTTTTAATTCTCCCTGATGTTTATGATTAGCTGGAGAGTTGCCTTGTGTTAGTGGCAGTAGATGGCAGCAAAGTTGACTCACACCACTTCTTGGTCACCTACCTCCACAGCTAAGAAGAGTTTTTACGTGTACGCTGCCATCCTGTCACTGCTCAACCTGGTCCAGGGCCTGGGCAGCGCCCTGCTGTGTGCCGGCATCATAGAGGGGCTCTGGTGAGTGTCTGTACTCTGTGTGTAGAATAAAATATGAAAAACAGGTGATGGAGATTCAAGTAAATGTTCAGCTAAATGAAACGGAAGACTCTAAATCATCACACTGTGATCTATGATTTATCCTAATGAAGAAAAAGGGTTAAAAATGTTGTCTTATCAATCACACTTGGAGCATTGATCGCAGCACGTACTTTTCTTTTGACGTCTGTGTTTAAGTAATCAACTGTAGCCTAACTGCAAAGCAATGGATTTATCAAGGTTTTATCTGTATCTTCAAGGCTGACCTTTTTATTATGACAGTGTTACATAGACCTTATAGCTGAGGGTCCAAGTCCAATTTTTCCCCCAATCTAATATATATTTTTTTATTCCTTCGGACATACTGTATCTTAAAGACCCAGTGCAGTCAAAAACGTAATTTTCCTGTGTTTTATATATAGTTCCACACTGAGTTTGGAATAATACTGTGATATTGTTAGATATTACTGCACTGTCGGAGCTAGAAGCACAAGCATTTAGCTACACCCGCAATAACATCTGCTAAACATGTGTATGTGACAAATAAGATTTGATTTGAAATTGTGAAAATTATGATAATGCCCTTTTTAGTGTAAGAGCTGTTTGAAAAGACCGCCTCAAATTTCCGCCTGTTTTGGTGGGAGGGAGTTTCGGCAAATTTGTTAATAGACCAATAAGAAAGAGTTCTAAACCTTTCTGCCAATAACAATTTTCAGTTTTCCACTCCCCAATCAGACCACTCCCAGACAGTCCTAGCAAAATTCTTGCTTGAGAAATTGATCTTTGCTAAGAAGCTATTTTTGTGTGTTTTTGATCATTTTAATTGAAAACAATCACAGTAAGGTACTTAATTGTAACCCAGAAATGATTTGATATTCAGATAGGAATGGTTGCATTGCACCTTTTTTAAATGAACTTTTCACTCAAAGCAGAGCAGCTTGTGTTTTAGTGTCCATGTTCTGATGTTTTCTGTGTAGCCTAATTTAAGCCTAGCAGCATTCTGGTGCTAGGCTATGGAGCTCTTTCAGTCACTGCTGATGCCTGGTGATGTTGTTTATCTGGGTCAGTGAGCTCCCTGTTAGTCTGATGTGGTTTATGTGTATCTGTGTGATTTGTAACAGCTGCGTGGACGTCACCACCTTCCTCTACTTCTCCGTGTTCGCCCCACTCATCTACATCACCTTCCTCAAAGGCTTCTTCGGGTACGTAAGTCAAAGGCCGAAAACTATGGCTGTCTGAAAATGTTACTAGATGTCAATCAATCAATCAATTTTATTTTATATAGCCCTTCTTACATCAGCTAATATCTCGAAGTGCTGTACAGAAACCCAGCCTAAAACCCCAAACAGCTAGTAATGCAGGTGTAGAAGCACGGTGGCTAGGAAAAACTCCCTAGAAAGGCGAAAACCTAGGAAGAAACCTAGAGAGGAACCAGGCTATGAGGGGTGGCCAGTCCTCTTCTGGCTGTGCCGGGTGAAGATTATAACAGAACCATGCCAAGATGTTCAAAAATGTTCATAAGTGACAAGCATGGTCAAATAATAATCAGGAATAAATCTCAGTTGGCTTTTCATAGCCGATCATTAAGAGTTGAAAACAGCAGGTCTGGGACAGGTAGGGGTTCCATAACCGCAGGCAGAACAGTTGAAACTGGAATAGCAGCAAGGCCAGGCGGACTGGGGACAGCAAGGAGTCACCACGGCCGGTAGTCCCGACGTATGGTCCTAGGGCTCAGGTCTCTCAGTTGGCTTTTCATAGCCGATCATTAAGAGTTGAAAACAGCAGGTCTGGGACAGGTAGGGGTTTCGTAACCGCAGGCAGAACAGTTGAAACTGGAATAGCAGCAAGGCCAGGCGGACTGGGGACAGCAAGGTGTCATCATGCCCGGTAGTCCTGACGTATGGTCCTAGGGCTCAGGTTCTCAGAGAGAAAGAGAGAACGAGAGAATTAGAGAGAGCATACTTAAATTCACACAGGACACTGGATAAGACAGGAGAAGTACTCCAGGTATAACCAACTAACCCCAGCCCCCCGACACATAAACTACTGCAGCATAAATACTGGAGGCTGAGACAGGAGCGGTCCGGAGACACTGTGGCCCCATCCGAAGAAACCCCCGGACAGGGCCAAACAGGGAGGATATAACCCCACCCACTCTGCCAAAGCACAGCCCCCGCACCACTAGAGGGATATCCTCAACCACCAACTTACAATCCTGAGACAAGGCCGAGTATAGCCCACAGAGGTCTCCACCACAGCACAAACCAAGGGGGGGCGCCAACCCAGACAGGAAGATCACGTCAGTAACTCAACCCACTCAAGTGACGCACCCCTCCCAGGGACGGCATGAAAGAGCACCAGCAAGCCAGTGACTCAGCCCCTGCAACAGGGTTAGAGGCAGAGAACCCCAGTGGAGAGGGGAACCGGCCTGGCAGAGACAGCAAGGGCTGTTCGTTGCTCCAGAGCCTTTCTGTTCACCTTCACACTCCTGGGCCAGACTACACTCAATCATATGACCTACTGAAGAGATAAGTCTTCAGTAAAGACTTAAAGGTTGAGACCGAGTCTGCGTCTCTCACATGGGTAGGCAGACTGTTCCATAAAAATGGAGATCTATAGGAGAAAGCCCTGCCTCCCGCTGTTTGCTTAGAAATTCTAGGGACAATTAGGAGGCCTGCGTCTTGTGACCGTAGCGTACGTATTGGTATGTACGGCAGGACCAACTCGGAAAGATAGGTAGGAGCAAGCCCATGTAACGCTTTATAGGTTAACAGTAAAACCTTGAAATCAGCCCTTGCCTTAACAGGAAGCCAGTGTAGGGAAGCTAGCACTGGAGTAATATGATCAAATTTCTTGGTTCTAGTCAGGATTCTAGCAGCCGTATTTAGCACTAACTGAAGTTTATTTAGTGCTTTATCCGGGTAGCCGGAAAATAGAGCATTGCAGTAGTCTAACCTAGAAGTAACAAATGCATGGATTAATTTTTCTGCATCATTTTTGGACAGAAAATTTCTGATTTTTGCAATGTTACGTAGATGGAAAAAAGCTGTCCTTGAAACAGTCTTGATATGTTCGTCAAAAGAGAGATCAGGGTCAAGAGTAACGCCGAGGTCCTTCACAGTTTTATTTGAGACGACTTTACAACCATCAAGATGAATTGTCAGATTTAACAGAAGATCTCTTTGTTTCTTGGGACCTAGAACAAGCATCTCTGTTTTGTCCGAGTTTAAAAGTAAAACGTTTTCAGCCATCCACTTCCTTATGTCTGAAACACAGGCTTCTAGCGAGGGCAATTTTGGGGCTTCACCATGTTTCATTGAAATGTACAGCTGTGTGTCATCCGCATAGCAGTGAAAGTTAACATTATGTTTTCGAATAACATCCCCAAGAGGTAAAATATATAGTGAAAACAATAGTGGTCCTAAAACGGAACCTTGAGGAACACCGAAATGTACAGTTGATTTGTCGGAGGACAGACCATTCACAGAGACAAACTGATATCTTTCCGACAGGTAAGATCTAAACCAGGCCAGAACTTGTCCGTGTAGACCAATTTGGGTTTCCAGTCTCTCCAAAAGAATGTGGTGATCGATGGTGTCAAAGGCAGCACTAAGGTCTAGTAGCACGAGGACAGATGCAGAGCCTCGGTCTGACGCCATTAAAAGGTCATTTACCACCTTCACAAGTGCAGTCTCAGTGCTATGATGGGGTCTAAAACCAGACTGAAGCATTTCGTATACATTGTTTGTCTTCAGAAAGGCAGTGAGTTGCTGCGCAACAGCTTTTTCAAAAATTTTTGAAAGGAATGGAAGATTCGATATAGGCCGATAGTTTTTTATATTTTCCGGGTCAAGGTTTGGCTTTTTCAAGAGAGGCTTTATCACTGCCACTTTTAGTGAGTTTGGTACACATCCGGTGGATAGAGAGCTGTTTATTATGTTCAACATAGGAGGGCCAAGCACAGGAAGCAGCTCCTTCAGCAGTTTAGTAGGAATAGGATCCAGTATGCAGCTTGAAGGTTTAGAGGCCATGATTATTTTCATCATTGTGTCAAGAGATATAGTACTAAAACACTTAAGTGTCTCTCCCGATCCCAGGCCCTCGCAGAGCTGTGCAGATCCAGGACAGCTAAGCCCTGGAGGAATACGCAGATTCAAAGAGGAGTCCGTAATTTGCTTTCTAATGGTCATGATCTTTTCCTCAAAGAAGTTCATGAATTTATTACTGCTGAAGTGAAAGCCATCCTCTCTTGGGGAATGCTGCTTTTTAGTTAGCTTTGCAACAGTATCAAAAAGAAATTTTGGATTATTCTTATTTTCCTCGATTAAGTTGGAAAAGTAGGATGATCGAGCAGCAGTGAGGGCTCTTCGGTACTGCACGGTACTGTCTTTCCAAGCTAGTCGGAAGACTTCCAGTTTGGTGTGGCGCCATTTCCGTTCCAATTTCCTGGAAGCTTGCTTCAAAGCTCGGGTATTTTCTGTATACCAGGGAGCTAGTTTCTTATGACAAATGTTTTTCGTTTTTAGGGGTGCAACTGCATCTAGGGTATTGCGCAAGGTTAAATTGAGTTCCTCAGTTAAGTGGTTAACTGATTTTTGTCCTCTGACGTCCTTGGGTAGGCAGAAGGAGTCTGGAAGGGCATCAAGGAATTTTTGTGTTGTCTGAGAATTTATAGCACGACTTTTGATGCTCCTTGGTTGGGGTCTGAGCAGATTATTTGTTGCGATTGCAAACGTAATAAAATGGTGGTCCGATAGTCCAGGATTTTGTGGAAAAACATTAAGATCTACAACATTTATTCCATGGGACAAAACTAGGTCCAGAGTATGACTGTGGCAGTGAGTAGGTCCAGAGACATGTTGGACAAAACCCACTGAGTCGATGATGGCTCCGAAAGACTTTTGGAGTGGGTCTGTGGACTTCTCCATGTGAATATTAAAATCACCAAAAATTAGAATATGATCTGCTATGACTACAAGGTCTGATAGGAATTCAGGAAACTCAGAGAGGAACGCTGTATATGGCCCAGGAGGCCTGTAAACAGTAGCTATAAAAAGTGATTGAGTAGGCTGCATAGATTTCATGACTAGAAGCTCAAAAGATGAAAACGCCATTTTTTTTTGTAAATTGAAATTTGCTATCGTAAATGTTAGCAACACCTCCGCCTTTGCGGGATGCACGGGGAATATGGTCACTAGTGTAACCAGGAGGTGAGGCCTCATTTAACACAGCAAATTCATCAGGCTTAAGCCATGTTTCAGTCAGGCCAATCACATCAAGATTATGATCAGTGATTAGTTCATTGACTATGACTGCCTTTGAAGTGAGGGATCTAACATTAAGTAACCCTATTTTGAGATGTGAGGTATCACGATCTCTTTCAATAATGGCAGGAATGGAGGAGGTCTTTATCCTAATAAGATTGCTAGGGTGAACACCGCCATGTTTAGTTTTGCCCAACCTAGGTCGAGGCACAGACACAGTCTCAATGGGTATGGCTGAGCTGACTACACTGACTATGCTATTGGCAGACTCCACTAAGCTGGCAGGTTGGCTAACAGCCTGCTGCCTGGCCTGCACCCTATTTCACTGTGGGGCTAGAGGAGTTAGAGCCCTATCTATGTTGGTAGATAAGAGGAGAGCACCCCTCCAGCTAGGATGGAGTCCGTCACTCCTCAGCAGGTCAGGCTTGGTCCTGTTTGTGGGTGAGTCCCAGAAAGAGGGCCAATTATCCACAAATGTTATCTTTTGGGAGGGGCAGAAAACAGTTTTCAACCAGCGATTGAGTGCTGAGACTCTGCTGTAGAGCTCGTCACTTCCCCTAACTGGGAGGGGGCCAGAGACAATTACTCGATGCCGACACATCTTTCTAGCTGATTTACACGCTGAAGCTATGTTGCACTTGGTGACCTCTGACTGTTTCATCCTAACATCGTTGGTGCCGACGTGGATAACAATATCTCTATACTCTCTACACTCGCCAGTTTTAGCTTTAGCCAGCACCATCTTTAGATTAGCCTTAACGTCGGTAGCCCTGCCCCCTGGTAAACAGTGTATGATCGCTGGGTGATTCGTTTTAAGTCTAATACTGCGGGTAATGGAGTCGCCAATGACTAGGGTTTTCAATTTGTCAGAGCTAATGGTGGGAGCCTTCGGCGTCTCAGACCCCGTAACGGGAGGAGTAGAGACAAGAGAAGACTCAGACTCAGACTCCGACTCGCTACATAATGGGGAAAACCGGTTGAAGGTTTCTGTCGGCTGAATGAGCGACACCGGTTGAGCATTCCAACAGTATTTCCCTCCAGAAGCCATGAGAAAGTTGTCCGGCTGCGGGGACTGTGCGGGGGGATTTATACTAACGTTACTGTCTGTACTTACTGGTGGCACAGACGCTGTTTCTTCCTTTCCTACACTGAAATTACCCTTGCCTAACGATTGCGTCTGAAGCTGGGCTTGTAGCACAGCTATTCTCGCCGTAAGGCGATCGTTCTCCTGTATATTATGAGTACAGCGACTGCAATTAGAAGACATCATGTTAATGTTACTACTTAGCTTCGGCTGTTGAAGATGTTGACGAACCATGTCCAGATAAAGCGTCCGGAGTGAAAAAGTTGAATAAGGGAAAAAAGTTGCGATGGAAAAAAGGAAAATAAAGTAAAGTTGGCAGCTAAAACGCACAGGAAAATGACTCTTCTGTCTCGGGATAAAACGTCCGGGGTGAAAAAGTTTAACGAAAAAAGATGAGTGAGGACAAAACTAAAAAGTTGGTAAATTTGTTGAACACAGAGATTGATTAAACGTTTATTAAAAGTAAAACGTGAATAGTTTGGCAGGTAGCCAAGTAGCAACAAACAGCACAGCAGCACGGAGACAATGCGGAAGCGAGACGGAAGTCACATGCACACACTCCTTCCACTTATTCCGCAAACCAATCCCTCAATGGAGGAGGAGGTCCAAGAGAGGGACCTTGGATTCTCTCCTCCAATGCGCTTTGAGATTAATTAAGGAAACGAGGACAGAAGACACAGGCAATATTCCCCAATGCATGATTCATGTTTGGTTGCATTTTACTGTTGCCTGATGATACCATCTCCTTTCTGTCTTTTCGGTCTCCCTTTCTTCCTCTCCCTCCTTGTCCCTCTTTTTCCCAACTCTCTTCCTCCTCTCCTCCCTCCTCTAGCTCGGAGCCCAAGATCCTCTTCTCCTACAAGTGCCAGGTGGACGAGCCGGACGACCAGACAGACGTCCATCTGCCCCCCACCTCGACCTCTGGTCTGGGCCGCAAGGAGCAGCTGGAGCAAGGCTCCTTCTACTCCAGCACCCAGATAGACGGCCTGACTGCCACCACCATGGGCTCCGGCATGGCTGCCTACCTGGATGACGTGGCCTCTGGTCCTTTCGGGGCGGGCAGCATCAACAGCATCGACAGCGACCGCTGGAGGGCCATCAACGCCTAAGGAAAAAGAGGAGATGAGAGGAAAGGGGAGGATATGGGATGTGTGCTAGTGCTAAGCTAGTAGGAGAGGTTAAGTGGAGAGTAGTGAGGTTGGAGTTTGCTATGGCTCTCTCTCCCCCTCTGGAGATACTGTGAAGAGGGCCCTCACTGAGGAAACTGCTCCCCCAATTCAGCTCCTGTTTATCCTCCATATCCTTCATTTTGGCTCTTGCTGCCTGCTCCATTCTGGCTCAAACATTACATTCTCCCCAATACCTGCAGGGAACTTCAGTCAAGTATTATCCCCCCTGTAATTGAGTGCGTGGACATCAAAGCTAAGAAGAACATGTTCTATGTTAAGTGTAAAGGTAATGTCCGTTACATTCCCATCGAAGGGTTACAGCTCAGTGAGGTAAAGTCCACTAACTGTGGCTTTGTGTTAGATTTGTGACTATTTGGTAACCGGCTCGTATTGAATCACCAATTCACGGTTTCTCGCTCCCTATAGGCCAGACCTGTCTTTATCACGCTAGGACCCTTCTCTAAATTGCATCATTCGTAATGTTTTATGTTTGAAATCAGTGCTTTTTTCCACTCTTTGATGTTTGAAAGGCTACAGTGTAACGTCATTACCCTCATTGTATTAATTGAGGAACTCTGGCTTGAGTCTGCAGGAGTTTGGAATGCCGTGTCAAAGACCATTAGCAGTGCAACTGGTATCCATGTGATTTGCTGCTGGGGCATGGAGAGAATCAAAATGGATGCTGAGTCGCACCCGTCATCTCTACCTATTTTATGTTATTATTTACTGTCTGTTTTATTTATTTTAGTGACCGCTCGGTTTTATGTCGATAGGTAGTTCCATCAGCGGATCAATCCTGGTATAAAAAATGCTTATAATGGCTAAAGCAACATTTACCAACCACCAGTCAAATGAGAGATAGAGAAGGCAGGAATAGCACTTGTGGTTAGGCTATGTATTTTGCGGACATTTTTATTTCAAGAAATATTCATCCCCAGATACATTGGATTCAACTGAAAAGAAACTGAGAAAAACAAAGGGCATTTTTTTATGACTCAAATATGAACTAATATTGAAATGTGTTATTTTCAATATATGAAATGATTGAATTGACCACCTTATGGTGTTGCTCATATGCTCTTCATAATCAAGCCCTGATTTCATCACAAAGAAAGAGCAACTTTTAAACGCAGTCAATTTGATTGCTGATAATGCTCAACGCAAACTAAAGACCAATTTGCATGATGCACTACTTCCTTGCAGTAATCCTACTTTTATGTCTGCTGTGAACTTAGTAGCCCACAACACATGGTTTGCTGTGAAACCAATTCCGTTGGTGGCTGAAAACAATGTAATTCCAGTTTGTGTGAATTCTTTTAGTTTTGTCACTTATATTCATTCCCCCACCCCGAACAAGAATGGCCCCTTGGAATGGTAAAACATTGTCTTGTAAGTGTTGGAGTTGATCATCTGACATACAGCATCAGTATGTCATATAAAGACACATTTATTTTTTTCATAAATGTAAGCCACCACAAAGCAAGTGGTATTTTATGAGTCTTCTGCCTTGCACGTACCAACACTTGCCCTGCATCAACAAAGGAAACCCTGTAACTTGCGCTCACACAGGCTTATATTTCTAGAGAAATGTTGTAAGGGTTGCATTTGAGGGGCAAAATTATTGATGATGATAAATTTGAGTACAATATTTATAAGGTGTTGATGGGGTGTGGGTTTCAAATGCAAGTGTTGTCAGGCTACATAAGATTTAATACAATATTTAATTGAAAGGACTTTGAAAAAGAGTAAGGATACTCAATGCCAGCAAGCTGTGAATAACTTGTAATTGTATTTAATAATGTATCATTGTAGAATATTCAACCCATATGTTGATGTGTTGAGCATTCCATGAGACGATTAAACCTGCTTCCTATACATGTATTTGCTTTGGACTATGTCTCCTCTTGGTGGGTTCTTGTGGTACTGCAAATGTAAACGTTTCGTCTAGTCACAATTTTTCGGGATGCATGGCACGCAGTTTTTCATGTGACTTGCATTGGCCAAAGCGTAGAATGTATGGCATTACATGTTTTGCCTAACCCTAATATTTATTGTACAAACATAGGCCTACACGACGTTTGGAGAACTTGATTTTTGGGCGACAGGGGGTTGACTACAGAACTACAGTTCCCAGCCGACTTATGGTCGCCTATGATACAAGATAACATGTAATTGGAGTCCGATTATTTTATCCACCTATACGCGTTGAGAATACTGGCCATCCTGGAAAGTGACCTTTCTTTGAGAATTTTGTCCGCGACGCGCTGTGGCGGCTAGTGTCACTATCACATTATCGTAGACTTGTCAAATATCCTAGTGTAGGGCAGCGGTCTTTTTAATACAGGTGAATACAAGCCGACCATTGACCATGGGAGGCAGTGAAAGTACGAGAAGAAAAGTGTCATTCGGCCTGGATGAAGAAGAGAAGGTCACAGTAATTCAAGGAGTTAAGGTAAGTAAGCGACTGCTTGGAAAACGGCGACTTTCACTGCCAAGTTCAAATAATTTGACATGGCGACAGAGAAATTAAATGCAATATAGGCCTAATAGGCTATATTTAGTGTATATATATCCGTGACTTTTGGTTGCATTACCGTAGCTCTAGTAAGTGTAGTAGGCAGTATAGAACGCCAATGGTTGTGTATTATTAAGAAAATGAAAGTAACAGACCCGCATTCTAATGTAATGCCATGTCCTCAAGTGAATTCGGTCACGGTTCCCCCCCAGCCCGCTATGCGTCGTTGTCTGGACAGGACGGTACACTATCGGCTATATGTAGGCTACAGAGAATATGCAACCGTAATGGACTCGTTCTAGGCTACTACAATAATATCCTTAGACCACATCTTTTTCACAAACACAATTTATATCTCAAATATATTAGGCTATGGCTTATAATATTACAGGTGTAGCTTTGAGCAAGTAGAATATTCCCACATCACGTGCAGATGTAACGTCAATGTAGGCATGTAGGCCTAGAGCAGACGATACATTTGGATACATTGTAACAAGACACTGTCACAATATGACAATGTTACAACTATCACTTATTAAGGAAGTCATTGGCAATTTTTTGAAGTTGCCCTACATAAAGTTATGAAAAATAAATGTTATTTGGACTAGGGCAGCAAGTTATTGTCAACCCCACTATCTTCTTACATTATACAATACATGTGCCCAAATCAACTTGTTTAAATAACTTGGGTCACACTTATGGTACTCTTATTACTGAGGAATTATCTCTGTAATACAGTCTTATAACGTATAAAGCTTTGGCTACTCATTGCTATACTTTAGTTTGGGTAAGGGTTAGTCTATTGTTGTAAGTGCAGGCTAACAATGCTGTGACAATAGTTATTGGCCTATATACTGTTCAGGAGTAATTACAATCCAAAAAATACACTTTAAAGTGGTAACAAACTTTGAAATAATAATTTGGCTATTAGCCTATATTTTTTTACACTTAGGTCTTGGTGTAAGCACCCATTGCTTTGAATGTCCGTCTGACCTGTTTTGCACAATGTAACCTACTATTACGCAATTCACAGCTCTCAGGGGAGCTTCTCCAGCGGATGCGAGATTCGCAGGGAACAGACAGCGTCAATCCACCGCCACCCCAGCCTGGCAGCCACAAACCTGCACCAGGTATGGAAGAGCGCAGCAACCTAAATGCTCAACTGAACTGCGATTTAGGAGATAAAGTAGGCCTTTTGGTCCCAGGGAAATACATGTTTGTAACAATGATTTAGAACCACTTTGGAGATTTTATCATAGACTACAGTAATAGTACATTTGTATTGTTATGTTAGCCGACTGTCTTTTGTAAGTGATTATCATGGAATTGGGAAATGGATATAATGGACCGTTTATTATTCAATGGCTGGATGTATTACAGATCCAAGACCTGGCCCCACTGCTGCTGAGGCACAGGAGGAGCTGCGGAGAAAGTGAGTTAAACTGCCACTAGTATACACTTTACACCAGAGGTCTCCAACTCCATTCCTGGGTGTGCAGAATTTTCTTCCAGTCTAGTAACACACCTGATTAGAATAATGTATGTTGCTCAAACCTTTGCATAAATCATGTATTGACTGATATCAATACAACTGTTGCATGTGTATGCCTATCTTAAGTTAGGATTTGACACCTTAGTGCAGTGTCACTCAATCCATTCCTGGAGGACCATTCATGGGGCACCCCCGGGGGATTTACTAATCAAATTGACGGTCTGTGATATCCTTAGGTTGATCGTAATACCTTTCAAGCTATATAATGTATAGAACTGGACACTAGCCAGACATGTAATTCTGAGAAGGAATGTGTAGGCTAAGAGAGCTGTCGACACATCATGTTGCTCTTATTTACTGCCAGCAGAGTGGCAGTAGGCCATGTCAACAGCAATGGCTCACTATATGGTTGGGATGCTAACGGCTCATGTCTATGTCATGCTATATGCTAGGCTAACTAGCATCTCAGTTTAGTTTAACTTCTCATGAGCCACCTCTGTGACACCCTGGGCCGGTTGCCATGGCCGAGATTAAACTGCAGTCCATTTGTCTTCCTATGGCAGGGGTGGCCAACCAGGGGTGGCTGACTAGGTATGCAGGTTTTTGCTCCAGCCCTGCTCTATCCTGCCTGATTCAGCTAATCAAGATCCCAATGAGCAGCTGATTAGTAGCCAGGTGTATTAGGGCTGGAGCAAAAGCCTGCATACACAGTATCTCCCCACAAAGAGGGTTGGCCACCCCTGCATTATAGGTTGGCTGTGATATTTAGTGTGTCTCATGTTCATCATATGTCCTGTGTGTAGGTTTGAGAGGGAGCAGGCCCAGGTGCAGGAGCAACTGTTTCGACTGGCCCAGAGGGAGAGAGAGGCAGCAGCAGCCACAGCAGGGAGGAAAGGGGAGGCCCACGATGACCTGAACCCCGCCGTGCTCCTAGAGAAGGGCAAGAGCCACGAGGGGCTGATGAAGGCCAAACAACTGGTGAGTCATTTGGCTCCTCTCTGCTGCCCTCTAGGGCCCAATCCTAAATGGACCCCTACGCTCGATGCACTTGTGGAGATCTAAGAGGATTTGATTGGTATAAGCTCCACCTTGCCTTTTGATAGGCTAGGTGGACATTTCATAATATTATACTAATCAATTCCTCTTAGATCTCCACTAGTGCATACAGCGTAGGGTAGAGGTCTTCACGGATCCACCTGTACCCGAATACACATTTACATTTTAGTCATTTAGCAGACGCTCTTATCCAGAGCGACTTACAGGAGCAATTAGGGTTAAGTACCTTGCTCAAGGGCACATTTTTCACCTAGTCGGCTCGGGGATTAGAACCAGCGACCTTTCGGTTACTGGCACAACGCTCTTAACCACTAATCTACCTGCCGCCCCTACACGAGACCCGATCCAGAATTCCAAATAATGTCACGGGTATGGGTTGGATCTGATATGATTGTCACGTATGTGTAATTTTAACTGATTTGTCTGGAAGGGCCCGTACAGATCCAACACGACTGCTGCAGTAGAGAGAAAGAGAGAGAGAGAAATGTGAGAAGGTATGCTGCTGGTCTTGCTTTTCACCAGAGTGGTGTGTGTAGCTTGTTGTTTGCCAATCATGAGTCATCAAAGTGGCAATAGGCTACAGTCATAGAGCCTCGCTCCGTGTGTGGCAGAAGTTAGGAGATATCTAATCAATGGAAAATGGAATTAAAATGACGTAACTAAATGTAGTGATGGCGCCGGAGGGGATAGCTGCCGTTTTATGGACTCTTAACCAACCGTGCTATTTTGTGTGTTTTTTCGCATTGATTGTAACTTATTTTGTACATAATGTTGCTGCTACCGTCTCTTATGACCGAAAAGAGCTTCTGGACATCAGAACAGTGATTACTCACCTTGAACTGGACAACATTGTTTTATTTTATGTGTCGGACGAGAGGGATTTGCTCCAGACACCTGACAGGGCCCTCATCCCCATCATTCACAGTAGAAAGAAAGGGAGATATCGCGGAAGGAGATCGGGGTGCTTGGTAAGGAGCCGGTGACGATTGCTAATCTGCCTTTGCCATCGATACTATTGGCCAACTTACAATCGCTTGATAATAAAATGGACGAACTACAGGCACGAATATCCTACCAACGGGACATTAAAAACTGTAATATCTTATGTTTCACAGAGTCGTGGCTGAACGATGACATGAATAACATACAGCTGGCGGGTTATACACAGTATCGGCAGGATAGAACAGCAGCCTCCGATAAGACAAGGGGTGGCAGTCTATGTATATTTGTAAAAAACAGCTGGTGCACGATATCTAAGGAATCTCAAGGTTTTGCTCGCCTGAGGTAGAGTATCTCATGATAAGCTGTAGACCACACTATCTACCAAGAGAGTTTTCATCTATATTCTTCATAGCAGTCTATTTACCACCACAAACCGATGCTGGCACTAAGACCGATCTCAATAAACTGTATGTATAAGCAAACAGGAAAACGCTCATCCAGAGGCGGCACTACTAGTGGCCGTGGACTTTAATGCAGGGAAACTTAAATCCGTTTTACCTAATTTCTACAAGCATGTTAAATGTGCAACCAGAGGGGAAAAAAAACTCTAGACCACCTTTACTCCACACACAGAAACGCGTACAAAGCTCTCTTTCACCCTCCATTTGGAAAGTCTGACCATAATTCTATCCTCCTGATTCCTGCTTAGAAGCAAAAACTAAAGCAGGACGCACCAGTGACTCGGTCAATAAAAAAGTGGTCAGATGAAGCAGATACTAAGCTACAGGACTGTTTTGCTAGCACAGACTGGAACATGTTCCGGGATTCTTCCGATGGCATTGAGGAGTACACCACATCAGTCACTGGCTTCATCAATAAGTGCATCTATGACGTCATCCCCACAGTGACTGTACGTACATACCCCAACCAGAAGCCATGGATTACAGGCTACATCGGCACTGAGCTAAAGGGTAAAACTGCTGCTTTCAAGGAGCGGGACTCTAACCCGGAAGCTTATAAGAAATCCCGCTATGCCCTCAAACGAACCATCAAACAGGCAAAGCGTCAATATAGAACTAAGATCGAATTGTACTACACCGGCTCCGACGCTCGTCGGATGTGGCAGGGCTTGCAAACTATTACAGACTACAAAGGGAAGCACAGCCGCGAGCTGCCCAGTGACACGAGCCTACCAGACGAGCTAAATTACTTCTATGCTCGCTTCGAGGCAAGTAACACTGAAACATGCATGAGAGCATCAGCTGTGTGATCACGCTCTCCGTAGCCGATGTGAGTAAGACCTTTAAACAGGTCAACATTCACAAGGCCACAGGGCCAGACGGATTACCAGGATGTGTACTCCGAGCATGCGCTGACCAACTGGCAAGTGTCTTCACTGACATTTTCAACCTCTCCCTGACTGAGTCTGTAATACTAAGATGTTTCAAGCAGACCACCATAGTCCCTGTGCCCAAGAACACTAAGGTAACCTGCCTAAATGACTACCGCCCCGTAGCACTCACGTCTGTAGCCATGAAGTGCTTAGAAAGGCTGGTCATGGCTCACATCAACACCATTATCCCAGAAACCCTAGACCCACTCCAATTTGCATATCGCCCCAACAGATCCACAGATGATGCAATCTCTATTTCGTTCCACACTGCCCTTTCACACCTGGAGTAAAGGAACACCTATGGGAGAATGCTATTCATTGACCACAGCTCAGCGTTCAACACCATAGTGCCCTCAAAGCTCATCACTAAGCTAAGGACCCTGGGACTAAACACTTCCCTCTGCAACTGGATCCTGGACTTCCTGACGGGCCACCCCCAGGTGGTAAGGGTAGGTAACAACATATCCGCCACGCTGATCCTCAACACGGGGGCCCCTCAGGGGTGTGTGCTCAGTTCCCTCCTGTACTCCCTGTTCACTCATGACTGCATGGCCAGGGATGACTCCAACACCTTCATTAAGTTTGCCAATGACACAACAGTCGTAGGCCTGATCACCGACAACGACGAGACAGCCTATAGGGAGGTGGTCAGAGACCTGGCCGTGTGGTGCCAGGACAACAACCTCTCCCTCAACGTGATCAAGACAAAGGAGATGATTGTGGACTACACGAAAAAAAAGAGGACCGAGTGTAACCGGTGTGAAATGGCTAGCTAGTTAGCGGTGCGCACTAGTAGCTCTGAGACCTTGAAGTAGTTGTTTTCCTTGCTCTGCAAGGGCCGCAACTTTTGTGGAGCGACGGGTAACGGTGCTTCGAGGGTGACTGTTGTCGATGTGTGCAGAAGGTCCCTGGTTCAAGCCCAGGTAGGGGCGAGGAGAGGGACGGAAGCAACACTGTTACACGAGCACTCCCCCATTCTCATCGACGGGGCTGTAGTGGAGCAGGTTGAGAGCTTCAAGTTCCTTGGTGTCCACATCACCAACAAACTAACATGGTCCAAGCACACCAAGACAGTCGTGAAGAGGGCACGACAAAACCTTCTAAACAGCTTCTACCCCCAAGCCATAAGACTCCTGAATATGTAATCAAATGGCTACCCAGACTATTTGCATTGCCCCCCCACCCCTCTTTTACGCTGCTGCTACTCTATGTTTATTATCTATGCATAGTCACTTTAATAACTCTACCTACATGTACATATTACCCCAACTACCTCGACTAACCGGTGCCCCCTCACATTGACTCGGTACCGGTACCCCTGTATATAGCCTGGCTATTGTTATTTTTACTGCTGCTCTTTCATTATTTGTTACTTTATTTCCTATTATTTTATATTTTTTTGTGATTTTCTTTTGGTTTCTTTCTAAAAATTACATTGTTGGTTAAGGGCTTGTAAGTAAGAATTTCACTGTAAGATCTACACCTGTTGTATTCAGCGTATGTGACAAATAACATTTGATTTGATTTGAAAAGTTAAAGGAGAAGGATAGGCTACAACAACCAAGAGCCATCAGGTAGGCTGCTACTTAATATTCTGAGTGGAGTTGTTGTTATTTGTAACTGTAGGATTAGAAATCACATGCACTGCAGCCTCAGTTAGCCTAGCTAGCTAACGTTAGCTAACTTAACTAGCTTCTCCCGCTTTGATGCAGTCAAGACAGGTGCTACGTAATCATATTTGATAATAAATAACCTAGCTATGGCAGCTATTAGTCTACTAGAGCGCGAGTCGGCTTGGTTGGTTGCTGTCTCTTGTTCCCTCTCACAGTACGGCCCCTCCCCGCCTGCTAGAGCGGCACCTCTCTCCCTCCTCTTGCTCTCCTATTAATAAAGTAGCTTAAAAAATGACTTCTGCTGCTTCCCTCACTCGGATTGGATCAGACTTGGTCTAGATCCGACCAGGTCTATATGGAACGGGTCTAGTTGTCCTCGCGTCCGTTCAAAACAGGTCTCTATATTTTAAAAATGTATTTATATATATCGGGTCTGGGTGGGAATGCCCCAGGTCCATTTCGGAACAGGTCCAACTTTTTGGACCCATGAAGACCTCTACAGTAGGGCACATGTGTCAAACTCATTCCATGGAGAGACGAGTTTCTGCAGGTTTTCACTCCTCGCTTGTACTTGATTGATGAAGTAAGGTCACTAGTTAGTAAGGAACTCCCCTCACCTGGTTGTCTAGGTCTTAATTGAAAGGAAAAAACTAAAACCTGTAGACACTCGGCCCTCCATGAAATGAGTTTGACACCCCTGGTGTAGGGCTTAGGGGTCTATTTGGTATTGAACTAAAGCTCTTCCCTACCTCAGTTCCACATAGTTAGCACTCAGTTATCATAGAAATGAATGACATAAGTATGTCCTAATCAAATGTGTGAGTATTATCTGAGTTAGTGCCCTTTGCTGTCCTAGAAATGCTATAATGGTGTCTAATACCTGAGTATGTCACCTTTCATGTCAAGGGAAATGGCACAAT